GTTTGACCATGATAAATAATCATGTTAATATACACGATTGAATGAAATTGACAACCACAATATGTGCAACTATTATTCGTATATTTTGGTAATTATATTAAAATTTATTACTCACGCTGCTCAAAATCCATACTCGTAATAATGTAAGACTCAAGAGTGATAAATAGTTTATAACGACTTTAGGTATCCTACCAAATTCGATGAGTCAAAATAAGGTATTCGTGAAATAATTGAAGTATTTCCATTATTGAAAACAGCTGACGATGTAATATACACGGCTCATTTGTAAAATGACTAAAATCCGATCGCATCCGTAAAATGCGCTATTTATATACGTAGTGAACAGAAAAATAAACGACTTTGAAAAGAGAAAAATTAATTTCTCTTATATTACAACTGTATATTTTTTAAAATGTTAAATGCAGTAGTGTTTCTCTTATCTTTCTTTTATTTGATATTCTTTCGTTGAGAAAGTACGATTATCTCCACTGTTTAAAATAGACATACTTACGCTTTTAAGAAGGAAATGGCATTTCTCTCTGAGAGGAAATTGTTTCGGTTAATTAAAACACATCTGCAAGTTCTACATATGGCGAGTGGATTATTTTAATAAGGCTCCGTTGTGCGGAGCTTGGGCCACAACATTCTCCATGCACATGCAGATAATCCTGGAGACTTTGCAAGGATTATTAGTCAATGGTTATTATAAAAGCGAGTTCACGGCATGGACCACGTTACTCAGTACAATGTTCCAACAGAAAGCACTTCTACTTTCCACCTGCCTGTTGGCATTCGTTGCCAGTTTTACTTTGGCACTTCCACCTGGAGCACCATGGACAAACTTTGCGTCTAAACCAGGTAAGTTCTTTTTATTACTCCGTATAAAGTATATAAAGAAATTATGTGTGTACAGAAAATTATTAATTATATATTTAAAGAAAACTTTGCTATTCATTTAAAGAAAGTAGTTCTTTATCTTCAAAATGTCTTCTAAATCCAAATTCAAATAATCTTCTGATGTTAAATGCAAAATAAAAAACTAAATTCCAAATAAGAACCCTGGTGAAAACTTTTCTCAGAATTTTTCATATAATTTTTCAGAATTTTTATATAATTTTATAACTTTCTCACATTTTTTATACGAATTGGAAAACTTTTCAGAAAATCTACATCTTTTCTCAGAATTTTTCATATATAATATATTAATTATGAAATATCGTAAGATTTCTAAGATTTTTTTGTAAGTATAATTTCTGATGAAACGTTATAAAATCTAAAAAATTTAAAAAAAAAATTTTTTTTTTAGTTATGGAGAAATCTCAGAATATTTCAAAATTTACATGTATGACAAATTCTGAGAGATGTAAACTTTCCAAATATTTCTGAGTATTTCTGAAAAATGTTTTAATTTGTATAAAAATTATAAGAAAAATTTTCATCAGGGAAACTTACGTAATTACTTTCTATTTCAAAATTTTAAGATTGCAAAACGGATATCTATAAAAAAGAACAATAAAAATTTAACAATTTTACATTCAGTTTTAAATGTAGATTTCAATTGCAAAATAATAGTCTTGAATAATTTTTTACTCAAATACTATCAACTTTATAAAAAAACTGCAAGAAACAAAAATCATTTATTTTCTTCTCATAAAGTTCTGAGAATTTTTCAGAATTTTTTATTAACTTTTTAGTACTGCATTTTCTTATTTTTACCAACATGAGAAAATACGGTATAAAAAAATCTTGAAAAAATTCTGAAAAAATTCTCAGAACTTTATGAGAAGAAAATTAATAATTTTTGTCTTGATTTATATTGTATTGATTTATTATTTTGTAATTCGTAGTTTATTCGCGAGCTCTTGGACCTCCAGGAGGAATAGACACGATATCTGTGCCCTACATGCCAAAATCTCCATTCATGCCGAAGTTTGTCGACCCAAAAGCGTTTATTTCTAAGAAGACGGATATGCTGAGTAACTTGTTCGGCGGTATAGGACCAGTTGCATATAACGTGGCAGATACCAAACCGATCATCCCATATGGCGTAAGTGGACCGGCTGCAGATAATGTTGATAGTGCAAATGCATTATTTAATAAACGAGACATGCTACAAGATGGTAAAGAAAAAATTATTGATGGTAGCAATATGTATAAACGCGGTATGTTTGGTCCGTTTGCTCCAAAGTTTGGCCCAATGAGTTCCATAGGTCCGATAAATCCAATGAGTTCAAAATTCGGTCCCTTTACACCATTTTCATCAGAAACAATGCCTGATTTTATGGATAAAGCATCTTTCTCCCGAAGAAGAAGAAGCATAGAAGTACCTTCTTCCGCAGACGTTAATACCATTCCAGGTTCATCATCTTATCCGAAGATAGTAGAAGGTATATCGGCAACAAAACCAGCCGCTGGTGTGCCGAAGGAATACTTGCCGGGAATGCTTGGACCTTTTGGACCAGGTGGACCTTTTGCACCAAGTAGTTCTTTTGGCCCAGTGGTGGATCCAAGTGCGATCATTTCGAAAAAATCAGAATTCCTGGACACGCTCTTCAAAAATCTTGCTACTAGCACTCCAGCATCAACAACCGAAGTACCTACACCAAAGAGCACTATTGTACCACCTAGTTTCTGGATGTCGTCCTCTGTAATTCCCGGCCCAACTGAGTATACGCAGAAGGTGTCTGACTTCCTGGACAAACTATTTGACAGTATAAATGTAACCGCACTAGAAGCAAGCGATGATTCAGACACAAAAAGCGATTTTCTAAGATCTTTGAAATCAGACGACAGTTCATCGGACAAAATCGCAAGATCCTTAGATGATACATCATCTATTGCAGCTGCTAAAGATGCAATTGTTGATACGATATTGTCAGAGCTTGGTAATTTAAAAGGCGATATGATAGCGACTTTAAATGATCTGATCGCATATGAAAAGAGTGCGACACCCACTGCCGCTAAGGCAAAAAAACCTTTTAAGCCTTTCTCTGGTACATTTCCTTTTGCGAAGCCAACAATCGATCCAACGCTTCCATTCCAGCAGAGAATGACTGCACTTAGCCAAGTATTTGATATGCTAACGGAGCTGCAAAGAAACATCAGTGTGGTTGCAAAAAACGCGATAGCAACTAATGCTAGCACACCAGATAATCCGGAATTGTCGAAGGTTCCATTAGCTAATGGTGCAGTTGGAGCTTCACTGATTAACAACACTCTCTTAAACGCCATTCTGAAGAAAATATCCACTATGGACAGTGCAACTCCGACTTCCTATCCGGTTTCTTATCCAGCTTCTTATTCAGCAGATCCCGTCAAAGAAAATTCTATAATGAGCAGAGCTTTGTCCAAAGGACCAACATCTTTCTGGGTATCTTATCCTGAGAGTTCGGTGCCTGCTGTAAAACGTCAAACAGACGATGACTCACTACCATACTTCGGATATGAAAACAATAATGATCGACATGATCATAGCCAATATAGGAGAGGTGTACAAATGCAGATGCATCAGGGCTATCAAAGTCTACCTGCAGGTTCGGTGGAGTCTGTACAAGCGGGGGGAGGTTCTACACCTGGACATCAAGGAGGAGGAATCAAGTTGCTGGTAAGTGCGATTTTATTTTGAAAGATAAGTAATTTTAGTGATAATTAACTGAAATATTAAGAGAGAGAGAGAAAGAAGTTTGAACCGTTAATTATAAAAGTACATAAATTCAATTTCACATAAAAATTTTGCTATATATAGCTGTGACATATATAATATTTCTCATTAAAACTTACAATTTATAACAATGTCATTTATTACAATAATTTATAATGGAAATCATCTTGAATTACAATAAAAAAAAAATTTGGAAAGTTTTGAAATTCAGTTACTAGTTACTACAGTTCTAAAAATAATGTGCAATAATTGATCTTACATATTCGATAAATGCTATATTAATTGGACACAACAATTATTAATTGATTTATATTATTCTCTTTTCTTCAAAAATGTTTCAGTTATTATTATATCATAATTACGTATTATTATTATTATCATGGAATGATATTATTTTAATGTTATCATTAACGTCAATGCTTTGCATTTTCTTCCTCTTTTTAATATATAAATATTACGACGTCTAAAATGTACAGAAATCTTTCTTTGAACCAATAGTATAAAAAAGAAACATATTAGTATCAGATAATTCTTAATGTGTTTACCATTTCTTAAATCTACTCTTACAAACTCTATTTATTTATTCGATTTTACTAAGAAATCATGAAAGTTAAATTAAATATTATAACAGCAAAACAATAACATAGTTATTTTATAATTTAATGCAAGGCAATATGCATATATATATATACAATTTTATCATAATATAAGTGTAATAGTATAATACTTTGGAAGCCTATGTACAAAATTATTGCATTCAAAAACGGGGAACAGGAAGTTATAAATTACTTAACATTTTTCACCGAAGATCTCTTTGTTTTCCTCTCTATTTAATCGAGTAATACTCACACGAGAAACTATAAAATATAATAACCTCATTTGTTTTCAGATTCAAATGCCTAAATTGCCTAACTCTCAAGCTCCAGGCTTTCAAAGTATTAATTACAGTTAAGTACGTGTAAAATGTCTCTGAATTATGAATATTGCGGGCATCTGTTCATCTGTCGCAGGGGCCTAACGCTTACGGAAACTCAAACAAATGGGCTGATTGGATGCAGTATCACAAGAATGAGTATCAAGATAGGCACCATCATAACCACCATTAGGCCACTCAGTCAGCAGGAATATTTCTTTCACTATATTTACATGATAAGTTCTCAATGGAAAACCTTTTAAAAATGTTGTTATCTAAAAAGTATAAGTAAACGTGTACGATACTAATCGATTATTTCCAATAAAATATATTTGGCAGAAGATAAAAGAGAAACAACAATGTTACAGAATCATTTAAAATTATCTGCGATACATAATATCGAGATATCATATACAAAAAACGAATCTAAAATACTGGGTTTATTGTATCGTTTGTTCTTCATTAATCGCAATACACTGTACTTTTTCTATGTATATGTACTGAAGGATATGAAAGGTGAATGCTCTTTCTGTGATAGTATCTAATCTATTTTCTATTTAATTATATTCTAATAATAGCAGTAATACGCTTGATGTGCCCATCAGTCGCGCAGACAGACCGCGACACACGGACGCAATCCTGCATCAAGTGCGTTGCTTTGTTCGTCAATCAGCAATGCATTGCACGCAGGGTAGCGTTAGTGTGTTAGGAAGCATCACAGTTTGGTTACGCGACATAGCGTTCTAGAAGAGGTGTACATTATTATCTAACATTAATATCAAATCGAAGAAATGGAGAGACAAGTTTCTTTACTTCGGTACGAAAAATGTTTATAATATTCGCTAGATATACCTGATTTCATTTTTACCCTTGTTACACTTTCATACAAAATTGTGGAAATATTGGCAGTATCGTGGTAAGTATAGACTTGTATGTTGCCCATTTCATATTTTAACGGTTCGAATCGCTAGAGATACGAATCTATATTCGTAAGTAACGAGCAACTTTCAGATTCATCGCAGAAGCGAAATGTTCTTACGACTTTGGTACTTTGCTATTGATTGTACTATACTCCTTTAAGAGTGAGTCACTATCATCTGCCTTTTGTGACTCTAGTGATAAGATATTCCATTTGTTGATCAATGCGGAATACCATGTAAAACGACGCTAGTATACTACCCAACGTTACCAGGAATCCTAATCCTTCGAATATTAACTTTGGCGCGAATATCTTCCAAACCATTAAATGCCGACAGTGTATAGTTGCTGCAAGCATGCTGCCGAAAGTCTGGAAAATAAATAATTAATGATACAGATATCTGAATGCACATATTTCTTTTAGACTGTTTTAGAGAAAAGCAAAATAATCTAAATTTTAATGTCTTATACATATTTTGCAACATACTCGAATTCCGTGAAGCAACGTGTATTTCCCCGCAATCGCAAAAATTGCAGCGTGAAAAGCAGAATCTTGTTCGAACAGGAGAAGTTCACCTCTCTTTATATCATCGAAAAACTTTGCTTTGAGAAATTTTGGAAATATCCGATGCAATGTAAATGGCACGACCACTAATAATGGTAACGTTGCACCTAGTAAAATATGCGATCCAAATGTATTAATACCTGAAAAAAAGAACATTTTATTAAAAATCTTTAGTCGATAAAAATGTTAATGAAGCCATAATAATATTTACCGATTAGAATTGCTGACACTAAATTTCCGTAAAAGTGACCACCAGTTCCTACAAAGGCAGCATGCCAGTGAATGGTAGGAAACGTCGCTTGATGACCAGTTCCATAAAAGAAATATTCAGCCAGTAAGAACCAGCAAAGTAATACAGGCATCGATACGTCAACTAGTTCAGCTGTATAAAATAAAAATAAAGTGTTAGAAAAAAATTAAGGATCTAAATATATACTGATAATATATATATTTTGGTGTGTATACTTACAAATATTATTAGCATTTTTGTATCTCTCTATCGCGGATAAACCCAATATACAAGCACATGTTATAAACATCAAAAATGTACCAGGCGACAGAGTATCTCCTAATAATAATGCGTATAAAAGTGTGAGGAATACGCTTAACGAGATAAATGCAGCGCTGTAGGCTGTCCCAAAACCATAAATGACCGGAAGTTCATCAGTATCTATTCGTTTGCGGGAAATGGAGTCTTTTATCTTTTCGAATAATCGAGGCACTATATTTTCATCACGGTAGACGTCGATAGACTCCTTTTTCTTTGGCAGCAAATATATACTAAGCGGACGATAGTAGAGGATGAGAATCGCAAGGACGCAGAAGAAGTAAACCACATTGGGTAGCGTATTGATCTCCCAGGATAGTGCGAGTTTCGGCTTGACAAACTTCGGAAGCTTTTGCAAGATCCAATAGCAACCCATGCAAACACTTACAATTACCGGACAATATTGCCCCACTATGACGCTGGGGGCAAAGCCTGTGAGATTTCCACAACTTTGTAACCATAGTCTAACTATCACCACATATGATGCCAGGATGACTGAAGCGAGTAAAACGGCGAGTAGAGCACGCTCCCAGTTATTTGGCATTGTGGACCAACCAACTTTTCCAGTTGCAAATATAGAACATTCCCGTTGTAGATGTTCTTCTCTACAGCGCCAGAAATAATGCGATAGCCTCACCGAGGCGCATGCTAGTAAGCCGATAATTAGTACAATTGTTCTGAAATTTGATTTTATTGGTTTTGAAGCGAATCTTGTCTTTCTCTCGGTAGTACTATCGGAATCGTTCTTTCTCAGATCAAATATTAGCAGGCATACAAGTGTAACAAACAGGAAGGATAAGACTTTGTCTTCTTCGACTATGTAACTGTTGGAGAAGAGTCCACATACCGTTAGAAGAAGTATTATTCTAGCTACATAGGTCAACAGCTTCATTCGACGATGATCATACCAACACATCGATATGACATCCCAATTTTGAGCGATTACTATAACTAATAAACCAATAGAAACAGCGCCAGTGACAAAAAAGGTTGTATTCTTCAATTCCTCTAAAATATTTAACAAAAACAAACACGTAGTAATCGCTGCGGTAACTAAATTTGCTATAATGGCACATTGCAAAAATGAAGATTTAAATATATCACACATACGACTTTCGGGGATACTAGTGATGAATAGATAAAAGAAAAACAAGGAACAAAACATCAAAAGTAAACCCTTGGAAATTAATCCAGAATCAAATTGGACCCATACTTCGGAACATGTGTCCTTCAATAATTTAAAATAATCTTTGGTATCCCGAATAAATGCTTCTAACTTTTCAGAACTATCAACTTGCTTAACTCGCTCAGAGAGAAGACTATATATATAATGTAAATGCTGCAGCTGCTCTTTCGAAAACAAGTATGTATCTGCAGAATATATCTCTATGTATTTTTTCGTTTGGGCAATGTTCCTCCATAGAGAATGTAATGGATACAGTAATTGACCAGTAGCTACCTCCTCTATCTTACTTGGCAAACAATCAAGGATTACAGATCCTAGATTAGAAAAGGGAATCGGTGTGCCAAGAATCGACGCTAGAGTAGGAACAAGATCAATTTGATTTACACTATTGCCATCATTAATCCCAAATCCTTTCAACAGCGGAGTCGTTGAATAAACGAACATTGCAGCCTCGACTTCGTTGGAGCTGTCACCACCGTGATCTCCAGTCTCAGTCATACCATGATCTCCAACAACAAAGAGTATCATGTCCTTTTCGAGAGATGCTACGATCTCTTTTATAAGCGTATTTGTGTCATTCAATTTCCTCGTCATTTCTGGATGCTGCATGCCATGCTTGTGTCCACAATGATCAACCCCGAGAGTGTGCGCTATCAGTAGCGACCAGTCTTTCTTCTTCAGCTCGAAGAAGATACGATACTGAACATCTTTATCTACACTGTCCAGATCCCAGACGTTGAACGACGGCGATGGAAATTGCCGCATGAATTTATCCGGAAATAGATTGGTCCATGTGTCGTCCCCCATAAAAACGATGCCTCCAGCGACATTTTGGTCAATGAGATTGTCTTCCTGGATGTATTCCGAGGCAAAGTTTGATCCCACCTCTATGAAAGTAGGCAAGGAGCCCGTTGTGAGACCTTTTAGGCGTTGCATAGTTGTGGTAGGTGGATCGGCCACGAATCTGTACAGGCGAGAGTGCGACGGATATTTCTGCAGTAGTTCGTGGATCACAGGCAATTTGTTGCGATGATAAGAAGACGCGGCAGCGTCGTCATCGTACCACTCCGCGAATTCGTACTTCAACGCATCGACGATCAAGAGCACGACCCGCGCTCTGCGCTCCAGACATACTTTGGCGGCGCGTTCCGTGTCCTGGAGGACGTCCGTCGCGTCGCAATTGTCGGCCGTCGCGCACTGCGTGCAGTCGGCCCGTTCCGGCCGGGAGACGCGATTTAGGAGAAAACCGCTGGTAAAGACCAGCAGGCCAGCCGCCATCAGGTAAGACATCCATGCCTGGAATACCAAGTAGTTCCATAGCCGGCTCATCTTCGTCGAGTCAGTGTTGCTCTCGGATATCGTTCACTGATGGCACAACGTCGAGGGAACTCCGGTGGAAACTTAACCTACGGCACGCCGGTCCGTTCTCCACCATTGTTGCATCTAAAGACGCGCGATCGGCCGCGGTATTGTTTTGGCCACGCTAAATACGAAAGACGTCCAATCGATAATTCATGTGTCGCGGTTCGAACGGAACCTAACCTCAAACCGCTTCCCACTACGTGGAGCAGACCGCATCAGCTCTCATCGGCGTGTCACTCGCGGCTGTTAACTGTTTGCGGCATCACTCGGACAGCAAATCTTCGAGTCGGTTTGCGAGGATCGACCAAAAAGACCACGGAGATCTCTCATCTCTCTCGTCTACCTCGTGTCTTGTTTCGTCTCTCACCTCCATTAACCTCCATAGTTTACACTCCGGCCTCCGGCATTTCCGGCGCAAACAGCAGTCGCGGCGTTCACGCATGCGTAAAAATACTCACTCCCCCAACGGCAACGGCCCCAACTCCGACTACCTCACAATTGCTCGCAATTGCTCCAGGCCATGGCTGACAAATCCGATTGTTTCTTACGCCGCGATTTAAAGCCCCCGAAAGTTTGAAACAGTGCCAGAAAGAGGTTTCGATTAGCTTCGGTATTCGTAGCAATACGATAACGAAGAAGTGAGTTTCTCAAGTTATTCTCAGGCGTTTGACTGTGTCCCCACGACGCGTGCACTTTCGATCGTCGTTGATGTGCGGAACGAACGCGTCTGTTTCCTAACCTCTCTATCGGCCAGACGATCGTACGAGCATTCTGTTTACTAAAGCTTTATTACTAAGAAGAAAGGACTTTTTTTTTTCCAGAGTAGTCTATTGGCGATTTTATCTATCGTCATTAACAGTACATATACATATTTTGTGGCATATCGTTATTCGCGCATGAGATCTCTTTTATTTATAAATATTATTTATTAGGAGTCACCATGACAGGTGGAAATACCGCTGAAAAATCAGCTAATAATCCTTTGGAGCAGTTCGTGCTGCTTGCAAAAACTGCGAAAGGCGCCGCCGCCATAGAACTTATAAGGCAAGCCGTCGAAACGCCTGGCGTTCATGTCTTTGGCGAGTTATTGGACATGCCAAATATCAAAGAATTAGAGAACGGTCCTTATGTCCAATATTGGAATACTTTGAATCTATTTGCGTATGGCACCTATAAAGATTATCTGGAGAATAAAGAGAAAGTATTAGAGTTAACTCCTACGCAAAAAAAGAAGCTTCAGCATCTTACAATTGTCACTTTGGCCACGAAAAACAAATGTATACCCTACTCGGTATTACTGGAAGAGTTAGACATAAAGAATGTCAGAGATCTGGAGGACTTGATTATCGAAGCGATATACGCCGACATAATTCATGGAAAGTTAGATCAGAAAAATTCACAGTTAGAAGTAGATTATGCCGGTTTAGGACGAGACGTTCGGCCGGGTGATACCGGTGTAGTAGCTGAGACATTAGCTGCCTGGGGTGAAGCGTGCGATACAGTTCTGTCTTGTATCGAACAGCAAATATCTAGAGCTAATGTCGAGAAACAAAAGGCTACTTATCATAAAGAAAGAATACAGAGAGATGTGAGTTATATTTCTCTATTTTGTTTTTTTTTTTTAAATAGTTTTACGTTGTTGGAAAATTAATTTCATGCATAATGAATGTTTTTTTATCTTGTTGCTAGATTACTAATATAAAGAAATCCCTCGCCGCTCAAGCAGGAGGTGGAGGCATTCAAGAAGCTGATATAGCTGGTGGTAGTTCTGGTGCAGGAGGAAGCGAAGCGGGTAGAGAAGCCATGCCGGTACTCTCAGAAAAGAAGAAGTTACAGAAAGTCAAATGTATCAAAGTCAGTGGTAAGTTTTGGAAGACATAAACTTAGTCTTTTCTTGCGCAATGCATATTTTTCTCATTGTTCATCCGTTCGTTGAGTCGGATATTACACTTCGAATTTGTTACAAATCGTGACTAAACTGCGGCTATTAAAATTGAATTGGAACGTATGTATGGAAAAAGTATTGAACACTCTTGTGTCAATTTTTTTTTTAGATTGTGAAATGAATGATGAATGAAAAGATTATGAATGAGAAGGGTAACATTGAAACGAATTTATTAATTATATATAAAGTATAACCCAAATGCCGAATCGAGAATCCTTTATGTATCTGAATATTGAGTTCGTAGACACTTTTAAAGCAAAGTAGGGAAATAATATTTTATACAACGTGTTCTAAATATATAGCATCGAATTGTGTATATGTCAAACATGTATGAGATCTCGATTTAGTGACACATTTATGGACTCAATGTTATAATAATAAATAAAATTAAGAGTACTTTTCTTATCAGAATACATTTGTAAAATTGATTTATTGACACACATCAGTATAAGAAATCTTTTAGAAAAACCGAATATAACATTTGAATAAAAATTTCCACTTTAATAACTGCAAATGTTTAGCGGAAAATGTAGAAAGAGCAATAGATTTCATATTTTTACTGTGATCATTTTAAATATCATGATAGTATTTACTGTATAAAGGATTTCAGTACTGTTAGCATAAAATTTAGCATTTATTTACGGAATCGATTGTTTATTTATTTACATTAAACACAAAGTAATAATATGTATGAGGTATACGTAACGTGTGATGATTGTCTTTACATCGAGCATTTGAAAAAAAAATACAATGAATCTTTTCTTTGTGACAAAGATAATTTTGTAGGTAAGCTTGAATATTCTTGTAATATATCCCTGTTTATTTTTTTAGACCAAAGACATCATGTTTTGTGTTTGTAGGGCGTGAAGAATTTAATTAGGATTTGACGATTCTCTAGATGAATTTGATAAATAATGCAACGTGTATTGCATATTTATCAATGCATACGTGCCTACCCATTGCCAGTTATCACATAAAACGGTATGCCCATTGTGACGAGTTGGCTTACGTGTACTTCCAACAATAGTACCGTTCGTACTGTTTGCGTTCAGACTTTACAGATTCTCGTTTTGTAAGGATTTGTAATCGCTAAACGATTTACTGACGGAACAATGCGTAACTAGTCCGAGAGGTCGTTTTCGAAGAACATTGTATATTCAAAAAATTGTAAAGGTATGCCACTGATGTAGCTTAGCAAAAAAAATGTCAGTCGTCCGTTAAAGCGTTGTAATTGCTATTCGAATAAAAAGATAATATATTTTAGCGAGGCTTTTTCTATTTTTTTATTACCCTTGATGCCTCTCTCTTTCCTTCACGTTTATATTGTAAGTTGCTAAAAAAACATGTTAGGCTTTAAAAATTACTACAAATGGTAGGTGTGCAATATTGTAGGACGACATAAAACTATATTGCTGTTTTAATAAGGGCAGAAGATATCTGTGTTTTTATACATTTAACGAAAAAAATTTCTGTATTTACATCTATGTTTTCAATTTTTCCCGATTCGTGTCATAAATGCATTTTCTGTATTTTTTTTTGTTTTAAATGTAATTACGAATTGTGAAAGTAAATTATGTAAGTGATGTCAGTTACTCAAATGAAATTTTAGAAGTTTAATCATATAATCTCGGTGTTTTGTTTCCTTTTCAATGTGTAATTTATATGTATATGTATATACGTATGTACATATGTATATTTATTTATTTATTTTATTTTAATCCTTGCCTTTCGGCTTAGGATGGCTTCCGATTTACATTGTGTTCTTACTAACTAAAAATATATCATTTAATATTTCATTTTAACCTTTCATTTATACATGTACATATGTATATATATATATATATATATACATGTATATATGTGCGTAACATATATGTATACACACACATGTACACATATTTTTATGGTTTGAAATATAAGTTATCAATTATACATTTAATCGGGATTTTCAGGATCTGCTACTGATCCACTAATGGTCGATGGAACAAGTTGGGAATAGCCGAGAATGAATTAGGTGAAACCTTGTGGCGTACCAAGTCGTTCGGATATTCTATCACTCTCTTTTTCCCCCTCTTTTTTTCTTTCTTACTTTCTGTGAATTTGATGTTTTGAAATGTGAAAACAAATGTTTCTCCTGTAACCTTTATAGTTTTTAAAAATAAATACCATATCTCTTTGAGCTGTCTTATATTTATTGTAAATCGCAAGAAAAATAAAATTGTGCTAACTAAAGTGTTTTTCTTTCTTCCATAAAAATTCGTCTTAGAAAAGAGAAATAGTACACAACAATTACATCGTCGATTTTATTTTTAACTTTCATTTTGATGAGTACATTACGCTATTACTATCTCCTTTCTATTTGAATTTATAACGTATTTAAAATATCTCCAAGTCGCGTAAAACGTATATATATATATTGTATATATTTATAATATATATTATTTTTGACATTGCGTTCTTGTGCATTGTATTCGGAATTTATACGTCGCATAATCACTCACGCGGTTTTGTCATAGTTCAAAAGGATATTATAATTAAATTGGTTCCATACGCGAACGCTACACAACACATTCTTATTTATGTACGATATTACATGCGTATGTACAATTATCTATAGTGTATTTATATATGTACATACATGCGTACATATGACTGTAAATACCTGTCGAGGAACATCGATGTTTTCCTTCATATTGGCTTTTATATATAATTTTAATTTTTATAAATTTTAACATATCCATTGCCCGCGTATCAGATGCCTCTGATCAGTTTCTAAACCGTTATGTACATAACACCAAAAGACCAATTAAAAAAATTAAAATATGTGAACATTTATTTTTACGTAGTGATTATAGCAGCGGAATTACATTGAGAGTCGGTTTTCGGACACGAAGGCAGTGAATATGTTAAATATTATTTAAGTAAAGTGTACAGTGTATAACAAATGTACACATTGGAAAATTCTTTCGACACGATAATACGCGAGTGCTAAATTTTATTCTTTCGTTTTCAATAATTTTCTAGTTTAATGTTATTTTATTAAAATTGGAATTTTATCTTTCTTATTAAAATTAAAAATTATCAGCGAATGTGCGCGCGCGACACAAATGTGAATATGTATTAAATTGTGATTGTCAGACTTATTTATGTATATTTGAAGCCTGATAAAAAAAGAAAAACGTTTAACATATTTAGGGTGCGTTCAGGGAGCTCACTACCAGTGCGCTACCACTGTTCAAGGAGCTAACTGATAGCACTATCGTGATGTTATTGTTGGTAGCGTTTGACGTCATGACTCGCGCTACAAATGCTATCGCCAAAGAGGTAGTGTGTTGATAACGTAGCGTTGCGTAGCGTTCGTGTGCTCCATGAATAGCGATAGTGTAGTGAATACTGAAGTGAACATTGTTGGCTGATACTTCGAAATTAATGATCGCAATAGTATTCATTACACTTAGCTTTGAAAATGAATTACGTGGAAATGGAATTGCGTGATGAAGAGTTATAGGAAAGTTATATGTTAAAATTGAGTCCAACGGATGTCAAGCAAAAAATTATAAGATTATAGTTGTCCAATATTTTGTAATTATACAGTTTAGCTAAAAAATTAATAAAATTAGACTAGTTCAACGCGTTTTTGAATAAAACGAAAGAATGTAGCAGAATCTAAAGAATCTTGCTCTTGCTCCATTTTGCCGTATGTGATATGGTTAGGGCAAACACTACACTATTATTGTTCACAGAGCTTGTATTCGCTAGCGCTTTCTTGGCTCCAGAGATGGTAGTGTTAGCGCTGGTAGTGCGGTAGTAAGCTTTCTGAACTCACCCTTAGTATATTTTGAAGCAGCACAGTTTACACAGCTGTACTCTCATATTAATGTTCGTATATGTGCAGAGGATTTGAGATATTACATTTGACATATATACAAATAAATCACAGATAAATTGATAGCCATTGTAAATGATCAAATGCAGTGTTAAAAGTTTTTCACAGCAAAATATAAAATAGATTTTTTAATACAGTGTATAAAGATGATATGTTTAACGCGAATGGAATACATCTAATCCTATATTAAAATTAACACAGTCTTTCCCACATCAATAAGAATCTGTTTTATAATACATTTAATTGAATTCTGATAATGACAAAAATCACATTTGACAAAATCAAATATACGCTACTATTATGATACTGTGCAATTTGCGCATGTCCTTTCTACGAAGAGCAATTCCTATAGTTTGCAGAAAATTTTTCTAAACAATAAATTTAACATTACAGTATTAGCCTAATATACGTCTAAAATGCACTCACATTTCATTTAATATCAAACGATGCATGAAGTGCGCATTAGATTCATCTCTAAGTTTACATATTTACAAATATATATTTACAATGATTAGGTGTAACTTATGTAGCAATATGAACACTATGCTTAATGCTAATTTTTCTTAAAAAATTTATTAATTTATTATCTAATAAAAAAATGAAAGTATTCTTAAATTACACATTTGTCTAAATATATTAGAAGATATTCTTTTAAATAAGATAATTTTTTTTATTTATTGAATCATATTTAAACATTAGAATTTTTATGATAGCATATTATACATGACAAGAAATGTTAAAATAATGCAAACATCGAGATTTTGTGGATCTAAAGAGATAATACAGAATTTTTTCACAATTGTTAATATATTATGTTATAACAACATAAAGCAAAATACTGAAAGTTTTAAGTGATCTCAAGAGGTTTTTTTAGATACTTATCTTTAAGATGATTAATAGTTTATAATATAATTTAATGAAAATATAAATTAAGTCATAATTTGAAATAAAGGAAAACGAATTCGATTTTTAACAGAATATTATATGGATTATAAAACGTATGTTTTTTATATTGCATTCCGAAATGTTATAAAATATTTGGTGTCTGTCGAATTGTTAATATAAATATTAATATCAATACAATCAAAAAATAACAGCAAAATACAAATGGGCGTTAGGAGTCAGCGCTGGATATTATATTGTGCACTAATTATATTGCGCATTAAATTGCTAACTAATACCTGATTGGCACGACAGACTATGTTGAAAATGGATCTCTCACTACATTTCCACTGCAACCGCATTATTGGAAGTCGGCAGGTCGGAACTACGATTGTGCGAGACGCAGTTCGACAGATTTTATAGTGCGATAAGCGGTTTCTATTGCTGAGGATGGCTCAAATAATGAGCCGAAATGTAAAAAATTGAATTTGTGACACATAATAGGTATTAGTTAGCATTGCGCAATATAATATCCAGCGCTGACTCCTAACGCCCATTTGTATTTTGCCGTTATTTTTTCATTGTATTAATTTAAGGAGTCTAAATTTTATATTTTTCTTTACTTGAATTTGTTTATTAATATTAATGTTTTTCTATAAAAGGATACAAAATAAAATGCATAAACGTTAAACATTTACTTATTTTATTCGTTAGGTGCAAGTAAAATTATATAATGAGTTTTGTTCTTATTAAAATAATAATTTTAAAGATTTTTTTCCAGAAAAATTGATATTTAATTACGTTTTGTATTTGTTATAAATAACAGTAAGTACGACGAAATGATGAGAGACTCATTATAATAATCTTATAAATTATACATTTCTTCGTTGCGCACATTATATTACACAAATAAGTAATAAAACGATCTTTAACTCTAATACTCTTTCATTATGCTTCGTTTATGTTTATTTGTCATTTTACACGTAACTTAAGGATTACATATGTTCGGCACGTTCACACAATACGTATAATAAATTTCTTCTACTTCAGATTTACTCAACTCTAATCCAATCGTACGAATAATTTTAAGTACGTGTTACTCGACAATTTATTTGGCGTCTGGCTGTTATTATTTTGCGGTCGAATCTTGATAAGAGGTATCTGATGTTTAATTGCTTTTTCAAATAATCTTCAAAACTAATATCTTGCCTACCTCGTTATGTTGAAAAATACGTTGGCGTAGATCTATCGTATATATACAGTTGAATAAATCAGACGATAACGGGATTCTTCGAGATCGGTTTTAAACTAACAGTTAATACCGGTGATTCTGTTGACAGCTCTATCTTCCGCTATAAGGAAACGTCGCTTTGAGAAAGCGGTCCATTACCTATCCTCGCATTGCTGTTAATTCGTTTCGTTGTTGTCGTATTATTTATTGATTCCATGTTATTCGCGGACACGATCACATCCGGCGATTTTTTATTACTCGTCA